CTTATCTTTGGACACAGCTGATTTCTCTTTGTTCTAAAGAAATACTTTAAAAATGCCTCTGTATGTTATGTATGTGTATGTATATATAGATGAAGGAGCTCTGGTAGCGTAGTGGTTACGAATTGGGCTGTAAATTTTAAGGTCAGCAGTTCGAAACTACCAGCTGTTCCGCAGGGGAAAGATGAGGCTTTCTGCTCCTGTAAAGATGTATAGCCTCGGAAACCCTGTACAGGGTTGCTATGAGTTGGAACCGACTTCACGGCATATAACCACCACCACCACCATGTATAAATGTGTATGAAAATATTTTTTTTATATGCATACATGAATCCTGTTTTCACTTTTGACATCTGCATACTAATTTGGGGTTAATAAATGAGCAGTTTTTTCTGGTCATGATAAATTTAGTAGAGTAGCCAGATTTCATAGTTGGTAGAAGTCATAAGTAATCAAAGCTGATCAAGTTAAGGAAAGTATGAATGTGACTAAAACAAAATACACTTTTAGGTATCATTTTGAAATTCTAGTGCTTTAGCTCTACAGACTCCTCTACTATTTGTTACCGTGTTTAGGAAAAACAAACCTACATGAAGTAAATCCCTCCACTGCTGGAACCGCCGCTCATGCTCATTCCTCCTTCTCAAGTCATTTTTTTAAAAACTTAAATAAGAAGCAAGTACATATTACAAATGTGAATAAAGGACATCTATAGTGGTTAGGAATTGGGCTGCTAACCTCAAGGTCAGCAGTTCAAAACTACTGTCTGTTCCATGGGAGGAAGATGAGGCTTTCTACTCCCGTAAAGATTTACAGTCTCGGAAACCCTATACAGGGTTGCTATGAATCAGAACAGACTCCATGGCACACCACCACCACCACCACCACCACCACCATATATTTAAGGACTCCTGGTGTGGTGTTGTAGAATCAGCACTGGACTGTGAACCACAAGGTTGGCAATTCCAACCCACCAGCTGCTCCTCGGAAACCCTATACATGGTCGCTATGAGTCAGAACTGACTTGATTGCACTTAACAACAGATTTAAAGCCTCAGAAACTCCATACAAGGTTACGAGTTGGACCCTTAGCAACAACAGGTTTGGGAAAGAGGGGAGGAAGTTCGCTGTTTGTATTTGCTCAAACCATTGCATATCTCTTCAGTTCATGTCTTGAGGGTATAAACGGGTACAGTTCACAGCAGATTGAGCAGACCCATAAAGATTAAGGTGTATAGGTGAATTTTCTACATTAACAACTGATAAAATGAAAACACATAATTATTGCTACACATTTGGAGTAGGTATATAATTATGTTAAACAGATTTAATTTCGTAACTGGAAATTCATTTAATTAGATTCAATTAAATTAATTTTCTTCTGTGTTAATGATACAGTGTTTTCTCTTTCAACTCAGGGAAATTGCTTCAGCAGTGAGAGACTGTAAACCGAGAGTTCCACTTACCAGTGTTTATGAAGGGCACATGTTACTGTCTGGTAAGTCAGAAAGAACCATTTGTAGAATGTATTCAGGATGTTTATTCTAAATGCTAGGGCTTCTATGCCAAGTAACTTATTTATTCGGTCAAAGAATAATGAAGATTACACATTTTTGTCTTGTCACTTAAATGATTTCTGAAAAAGAATCCTCTTGTTTTTCTTGGGGAGGGAGAGGAATGAACATACACAGCAGATTTGGCCAGATAATACCCCTGGTAAGAAATAGAAGTCACGTGGCCTTGTCTCTCTCTTCTGCTTTGAAAACATTGGCCACAGCCTAACATTTAATTGTTCAGTTTGCTACTGCTATGTAGAATCTGCCACCACTTGTCTGTCAGTATGTCATACTATGGTGGCTTGTGTGTTGCCGTGACGCTGTGTGCCTTTGGTGGTGGAAATTATCGTATATGCCTGAGTATTTAAAAAAAAAAAAAAAAAA